ATTCCTCTGTCGCCTGCATCTCATTATGGCGGCCCTGAATCGAGCTAATCGAGCTCAATAAGGCTTAACGAGGACGCTACGTCTCTTAAACGGGACGAGAGGAGCAGCAAATAAGAGCGTTAGCGAGCTTTCTGCGAACTGTTTCCGAAGCCAGATTCCACCCCGCAGGCACAGAAACTTGCGTTTCGAAAGCAGTTGCTCAGTCTTCTCGTCGTCAGCACTGCGATGTTAAACGGAGACAGCCGATTCCCAGTTACTTCGCGCACTTTACGTCTTACCTTTGCTGTTCCTCGAGTCACAATTCCTTCGTCAACCGCTCATCACGGAGGAATGGCAAACCAATCTGCGAAACCAAAAGCCGCTCTCAAAAGGACAAACTCGAAGGCGCTGTTTATCGCGTAGTGTGAAAGAATGTTAAATCGCTTGCCACCAGATGGCAAGGTCAAGCAGAGTAATTGCAAGTAGGTGGCGCTAGGTACCGCCCAATTCATGTTCTACAAACAATAATATTATTTCTTGAGGCCACCATTACGCTTCTGGATCTTCAAGAACCTCTACTATACACACACGGGATCCTCGGGAACCTCTACACACTACAAGCATCAGGTCAACATACATTGAGCGCATACGCATAGGTGGCACACACAAACATCAACACAACGACACACTAACCCGAACACTACACCCGAGCTCTGCGTTTCCGTCTTTTATACTGGTCGTTTTGAACGTACGGAATTTCTCGGTGACGGAATAAGCAATAAAAAATATTCCCCAACATGTTGATTTTTTTTCAGTAATGTCATACCTCTGAGAGTATTTTGAAACGCTCAGGGGATTAATCTCTTATTAAAAAAGTAAACGCTCGATCATGCCGTAATTATTTGAAAGCCAAATTTTGTTTTGAGCAATAAACGAAACTCGAACTACTTTCAATCTGTCCGAGTCAAAAGCAGTCCAACTGTACGTAAGGAATCAGTACCACAAGGCTACCAAACCGCAATTCTTTCGATTTAAACCGCGTTCCATTTCTTTCTTTTTTTCTTCTTCTTTTTCTTTTTTTTTTTATTGGGGGGCCCGGGGGGGGGGGGGGGGGGGGGTAGGAGAGTGCGCCGCGAGCCGCACTTTCCTAGCGCTCTGTGGTGTGTGTCTCTCCTACTCGTCCGTCGTTTTTAGCGCTTTTAACGCCAAAACTTTAACACGCAAAGAGCCGCATGCGGCTCGGGAGCCGCAGCTTGGCCACCCCTGATATATATATATATATATATATATATATATATATATATATATATAGTATATATATTTTTTTTCTTTCATATATATATATATATATGTCTTCAGTGACCGGTAGGATAGTGCTCCCATTTGAGATAAGGGCCGAGACAAAGTTGACCTTATCGGTATAAGTTTCGTGTGCACCACGCAGTGCAAAAAATACACTCGCCTCTCTTGATAAGCAAAGCCAGAGCTGGAAAAAAGCGATATGGCGCTCTAGTGTTCGCGCTAAGCTAAGCTGCTTAAAGGGAAACTTGGCGTGTTTCGCATCTCACAGCGAGCACGTCCGCTAGCACGCAGCAACGCCTAGGCGGACGCCTTTGCGGCTTCTCTCGTCACGCTGCCGCCTACGTTGCCGCTTGGGGCGAGATTGGGGATCCACTAACCATGACGTCGTGCGCAGGCCTTTTCCTCTAGGTGGTATTGCTGGTACACGTAAGCCGATGTTCCTCGCGCCAGCTTGTTTATGAACCTGCACAGCCTCCAGAGTTCGCCAAGTTATCGTGAAACGGAGTATAGGCCGGCGCGGAGCCGTAGCTCTGCACCAGCCTCTATGACTCTGGGCTTGTACGCGCCTTCGGGACAAAAGAAGAAAGAAAAATAACAAAAACAAAGCGTAGGTTGCAAATATTTTTAACATTGACTGATTTAGTTGTTTCTGACGATGTTGAGGAAGTTTCTATTTGAAACAAGCTGGCCGTTTATTTTTACTAATTAAAATTTTAATTATGCAAAACTAGTGAAGGATCTATGAGATAAATGTAAGGGCGCAAACGAGCTGGTGTACATTAAACATGATTAAAAAACCCTGAGACTACAGAATCACACACACTCAAAGGTCTCAAGACTTGAGACTTTTGAGTGTGTGCGTCGTTACCTGCGCTCTCGGGGTTTTGGATCATGTCTAGTGAAGGATCTAATCATTTTGAACATAATATACTTAAATAACTAGGAAATATTAGTGTGACTAACATGGTATCAATCTCATTTCTGTGGCATACGTAGTTTGCACGCGAAAACTTAAGCCGGCGTGTCCTGCAACGCCCGGAAGTTTCTTCAGCCAGTAGTTTCAGGCAGGTAAATTTCTCTTTGGGTGAGCATTCGCTTGTAAACCACAAAAACAGTGGAATACTGCAACAATCGATGAAAATTAATGAAGTGTTCGTCTAGACCTTTACGGAACCCATTACAAGTAATCAAGTTACCTGTAGTCGATTACTTTTCGGAGTAATTATGTAAACATTCCATTACATTTATTAGAAAGTAAGCTCACCAGCAATTTGATTACTTTTCGAAGTTTTAAAATTACTTGTAACCATTGAGTTTTTTCCATCCATTCCTAATGACATCCTTTGTCTGCAAAGGTCTTGTTTCAAAGAATCATCGAACCAACTCTCCGATTGGAGGATGGTTTATCAAAATTGGTGAATTAAGAATTGATAAGTAGCTTATAATTTGGGTAATTCCAATTCAGTAATAAACAACGCGAAGCACCTGCCGTTCTTAAACGAACCGAAAAATCTCCCCGTTTTGGAAATTCGAAGAAATCGGAGAAGTACCCTTGTCTTCTTGAAGTAACGGCCAATTACTTTTCGTCTCACACAATCGAGTGATCTAGTGTAATACTTTTTAAACGAGAGTAATTTTAATTTTAATAGTTTACTTTTTTAGAGTAACGTGTCAAAAACTGTAATTCGTTCTTTTGGCGCTCTGTTCGGCTAATAACACCACCACTGTGGAGCACATCCTTATATTGTTCGCCGCGATTGGCTCTTCCTCTCTCTCCCTCTTTCTCGATTTCTATTTCTTTATCCCCCTCTTTCTATCTTCCTCTTTCTATTTCTTTACATAGCCCTCTCTCTTTCTGTCTCTCTCCGTGTTCTGCAGAAAAGTCTTCTTACAGACATATTCGCGACTCCAGCGACCTATAGGGGGCGCCACCACCAATGAAACATGGCGGCTGGGAACAGGTTACGTCGCTCGGCCGGGCCGCCTGAACGGGGGCGCATTCAATTTAACGGATTTTCTTTTGTTTAATGCTCTATTTTATAGGTATTTGAGCTGCGACGGTTAAGTGTAGCCGCTGCACATAAACTTGCAGAACATAGTTTTGTTTTCCCGGTGTTTTGTATTCTTTTCACGTCAAACTTTTGTTTCGATGATTTCGTTCAAAACTATGGGCCCCGGAGAAACGGTAATAGACTCTAATCAGTTTTGATCAGCTAAGGAAGGCGGTGATGGCTACAGATTTGTTCCACCGAAAGTAATTTTCAGCTAACTCGCATGCCTCGAGCATGCGACTTATCTGTCCGCGAAATCGAGCTTTTGTGCGTGTCCGCGTTGAAGAAACAGCTCCAGTCGTCTGCTCGGTCAACAACACAGGCTCCAGGCAAATTACGAAAATTAAGCAAGCGCTTCTTGAGCCAAGGAGCATGTTAACCCGCCGGCGCCCCACTAAGCAGCTTAGACTCGTATTTCAATTCAGGTTTCAGTAGCAATCGAGAATTCATTCTGACGAATGCGCGGGTTATGTATTATATTACGTACTATGTCGCACTAAAGCGATATTAGTATATTCTTCGGTTTGAAATACGAGCTAAGTTGACTAGCTCTTAGGTGAACTGCTGAATAAAAGTATATTTGACAGACAGAGAGATACTACTTAAATTCAGCCAAGTGGCTCTAGCTGGCAGCACGGCGACGAATGCGGACAAACTGGAAAGAGCTTTCATCGGAAATTCACGCAGATCCCCCTCTGCATTGAACTTGACTTCGAATCCTGAACGGAGGAATTGAGTATTTTTTGTGGCCGGACAACCTGAACAATGGAGACGTATATTGCTGCTGGCTTCGACGGGGGCATAGTATAAATATTGGAGGCCCGATAGGTCATAATATATTGACAGCCTGTCAGCTTCTAACTTCGCGAGGCGCGTCCCCCACCTTTTAAACGCAGACAATTTCCCTCATGAATCGTATGCAGCGAGCAGGTTTTCCTGAATCAAGTAATTGCGAAATCAGACCAACTCCTTCGGTGTGGTCCAGAGGCTTTTTCGGCGAAAAGCAGCCAAGACGAACAACCAACGCACCGACCCGCGTGGGTGGCTCAATTTTCAAGCTAATCGAACACAACCAAACTCAAGAAAAGCAGCTGTCGAACCTTCCCATTCACTTCATTGCAACATTGGTGTTCCCTCAAGTGAAACACATCGTCTGTCGCCCTCATTCCACTGTTCTACATCCATATAAATAATTCTTATCAGTTACCAAGCAGTTCTCACTTTGAATGTGATTCGAGACAGACAAGAAATCAAAACGTTTTTCCGTGATTCCTCTTCCAAGAAATCGAAAGCATGCGACTGTGTGTTGAGGAGGAAACGGGCTTTCAAACAATTACGTGTTACACGTAATTGAAGGAAACAATCTACTGAGGCCTTACCACACTAATGAACACTCAGGCAAACTTAAGGAATATTCGGACCTTTGTCAAATTACATTGTTCGCCCCCGCGCCGACAACACGTGTCCGCGAAAGCCGTCAGAGACGCGGAGATAAGCAAAGCGTAAAGGTGGTTCCCGGTTTTCCCGCTTGGTGCCGTCCGTTTTGCTGGAGTCGCAAATATCTGTGTGCGTGTTTTTTTTTTCTTGTTTTTATAGAGTGTATAGTTAAAACACACTGTCTATACGGGTTCTCGCAATGATGTCCCCACCTCCTTGTACTCTTTACAGATTACGCCGATCTCGAGGAGGGTCTGGCGCTTCGGAAACTGGAGCTTGACGACGAGGACCGAAATTCTAAAGGTGAGTCTTTTGGTTGCCTTTCAAAGACTTGGCGCTGTTTACTTTAAATGAAAAAAAAAAAAAAATCGAGGCCGTATATTTGCGCAATTTTTGCATCAGCCAGACCCCTTGGGCACGAAGATATTACCTTCGTCGATCGCACGCGGCTAGTTTTTTTTTACTTCGTTAAAAAGAATTAAGATTTTCTTCTTTTTTTTAAATCTTCTATATAAGATTGAGCGAAATCATTCTAGTCATCGACGGCTAATGAAATGCGAGGCTTTGCTTATTAATATAGCCTCGTTTCTGCTATCGTGATTGGTTCTTTGGCGTTGTTATCCGCTAACGCTTCAACCCTATTGGCTGTGAAGCGATAATGAGATGTTTGGGACTCGCCACGCGTTTCTTAAGCTGTCGGTGAGTCACGACGCATGTATGATGAACCTAAACATGGGCCACTCACAATGACCCAACTATTCTACAACGCAGTTCTGTAAAGTTTTAGGAAGCAAGGTGTATAAGGCGCAAAAAAGCAACGGACACAAGGAAGAAGACGCACGCACGCACGCACGTACGCACACGCGCGCACACGCACGCACGCACGCACGCACGCACACACGCACACACACACAAACACACACACACACACGCGCGCGCGCACACGCACACACACACACACACACACACACACACACACACACGCACACACACACGCACACACACACACACGCACCTGACACCGAGCTTGCCATGAGGTGTCTTCTTCCTTGTGTCCGTTTTTTTTTTTCGCCTTACACCGTGCTTTCTAACATTCATGAACTAGCCCAATTACAAGTTTTTTCGACTGTAAAGGTTTGTTTAGTGTGCCTCAACTTGAACTCTTGTAAGGAAGTTTGTAACTACGTCATTTTTTTTATTTAAGGGATTTTTTCTTGCAATCTAGCAAGAACTCAGGAAAGAGAGCCGGTAAAAGAGGCGCGCAATCTGTTTAAGGGGCGGAATTTTCTTATGGAAATTTCTACAACAAGCGAGCGTAAAGGGAACGCTAAATGCGGTACAAACTAAAGGGTAAACTTTCCAACGGCGCGGAACCAGCTCGACGCCGAGGAAACGCGGGAGGGCATTTAGACGGAGCGGTCTCAAGACCTTTGAGTCTCGACGTTCACAACAGGAAGAAAGACAAATGGGTTCGCTCCGGACGGCTTGCCTTAACCAGCTACGACGTGTACTTAAAAAATGAAACAGGGGAAGAAAAAGAAGGAAGGGAGAACGGAAAACAGACAAACGCAACACGTTAGCGTGAAGCTCAACGTCTGGTCTTTAAAGATTAGAGATTAGGTGGACTTCACATGAAGGAACATAACAAACGTTTGACGGCAATGGTCAGTATTTCCGGGACTATCTCAGGACTTAGGATTTTCTGGAGAGGCAACGGAAGAGATTTAGTAAGAAGAATTTATTTGAACTCTCTTTTCTTTGTGAGGACGATGTATTACTTTGTTTTGGTAATGGCTTCAAGAAAGCGTCAATCGACGGAAGGCCGTGGCGAACAAGCACGTATAGAAAACATCACGTCTCAAAACGACCGGTACAGTAAGGACCAGTATAGTGACGACAGATACACTAACGACTGGTAAAGCAACACGACAGTTGTACAGTGACGACCGGTGCAGTAAAAAGTAATGCAGTAACGGCCGGTGCAGTAACGACCTACGCAGTAACGACTGGTACAGCAGCGAAAGTGTACAGTAACGACTGGTACAATAAGGAGCAGTACAGACGACCGGCACAGTGAGGACCAGTGCAGTAACGACCGCTACGGTAACTACTTATACAGCAACGACCGTGTGCAATAACCACCGGTGCAGTATAACGACCGCTGCAGTAACCACCGGTACGGTAACGACCGGTACAATAACGGCCGATAGGGTAACGACTGATACAATAAGGGCGGATACGGTAACGACTGGTACAGTGACGACAAGTGCAGAAACGGATGACACGGTGGCGACCAATACTGCACGACCTGTATAGTAACGCCGGTAAAATAGTAAGTGGTGCAGTAAGGGCAGCTACAGTAATAGCTGATACAATAACGATGGGTATAGTAACAACTGTTAGAGTAACGACCGGTTCCGTAAGGACTGCAAACCGAAATCTCTACGCCTAATTGTCTGGTCCCGTAAGTAGGCAGACGACACGCCAGCAAGGTATGTTAGCTGTTTATCTGAAGTTGGAACCCAGACTTTTCCGGTCTAAATTACCGCTGAGAGCATTCCATCCAACGGCAATCTTGGAAAACGTTGCTTGTCCGCCTTCATACTAAAAAAAAAAAAATAAAAAAATTGCGAGAATCTAGATTTAAACGCCTGAAGTATTTGGCCCGTAAAAGATGAATCGTGGCCGCTACGCAGAAAACCACGTTGCTTTTTTTCAAGATGGAAAGTACTGCCACTATTAAATAAGAAAATTGTGGTTCCAACCCGGTTGCTTTGTGTGCTCTTGGAAGAATCCCGCGATATCTCCTCCAATACGCCATGATGAATGGCCGTCATTGTTCCAGTGACAGGAATTTAATGAGGTTTCGCTGCACGCACATCCTACGGCGCTGTTCCCCTTTTTAAGTGCGTGCATTTATATAAACGAGGTCCTGGACTGCGGTTCCAGAGGTGAATTTATGATCGACTCGGGCAAACAATACGTTATTTTCTTTTTTTAAATGTAATTTCAGGGAATCATTTTCTTGGAACCGCCTTATATCCTGGTGCAAACATTTCGCGGTTATCCTAATATAATGTTCAGAACCCGAAGTATATCACGCCGACTAAGAGTAATTGATGCGGTAATATTGGGTTGAACATGGGTTTTTCGAGCTGATTACAAACCGTCAATCGGCATTGTATTTTTTTTTTATATTCTTTAACCCAATGGCGCTTGCATATCGAGAAGCTACGCTTCTCCGTTCTTCTAGAAGGTTCGCGTGTACTCTATACTCCGAGCGTAAAAGGTAAGGAGGCCAGAGTGACCTTGCCTAGTCAGGCCGCCCTAGCTCTTTCCCGGACATTCTAGGTAGAATATTGGAGGCGACGAGCATAGTACACGAAGAGCCGAGCGCCGTTTTGCCGATTAATTCACTGATTCTCTCTCGTGATCGCCAGCTGTTACGCCGACGTACCGTCGCCTGCTGCTGCCGCCGCCGACGCTTGCTGCTGTTTTCTCGACGTTTGTTCTTCATTTTCGTTTCTGGCATAGGTGCGCCGCCATTAAATCTTTAGCTCTTTCCGTTTTTGCCTGCCTCATCGTCTGGCATTCGCGACATTTCTTGTGGAGGTGCGGGGTACCGCAGCCCATGAAGCGTACCCCTCCAAGGCCTCGCCGCACAAGCCCAGCGCCCGGCTCAAGGAGACCGTCCGTGGAGACAACTAATACCCAAGGAAGTCACCGCACCAAAGTGTAAACCCCCGAAATTCTGACTTCTACCGGACCCCCAGAGGAAGAAGTCGACGAAACCAACTATGACCTCGCGGGCCCTGCAAACTAAGACTCTCGCCGCTGCCTCCCCCGTCGTTTACCTGCCCGTCGCCCCTCGTACGCCGACGCCCTTCCACGGCGAGATCCTTGACGACGTCGAGGACTGGATCTAACACTACGAGCGCGTAGCACGCCACAAGTGATAGACTGCCGAGCAGTAATTGCAGAACCTCTACTTTTCGCTGGAGGGTACTGCAAGGCACTGGTTTGAGAACCACGAGGCTTCGGTCACGTCGTGGGACATCTGCGTGGCCGAGTTGAAGCGGACCTTTACGAGCCAACTCCGACGGCAGCGGGCGGAGGATTTGCTTCAAATACGAATTCAAGCTCCCAACGAAAGCGTAACCAGCTTCGTTGGAGATGTGCTGCGCCTAGGTGCATGCGCCGACCCGCTAGCCACCGACGAAAAAAAGTTGCGCTTTTTCATGAAAGGCATGAAATGCGAAGTCTTTGGCGGACTTATTCGCCACCCCCCGACGACCCTTGAAGAATTTGTGACCGAGGCAATCAACATCGAGGGAGCGCTGTTGGCCAGAGCCGGTCATTATGGAAGATCGCCGGTGTAATGACAGTTACCCTCAATATCTCGCTTTAATGTTGACGGTGTCGGTATCGAAAACCTGCTCGAGATTATACGGGACGTCGTCCGACAGGAGCTCCTAAAGCTGTTCCCCGCTGCCGAGTGCTTGGTGTCGCTGTCAGTCGCCGAGATCGTACGCGACGAGGTAAAGCGGGCCTTGCAGCCTGAAACTGCCGTCGACGTGCCAGCCCCCGAGGAACCGAGGCTGTCCTACAACGCAATGGCCCGTCGATCCCCGCCACCTGTTCGTCCGTATGTGACGCCTCCGCGTCATGAGCATCCAGCACCGCAGTACTCCCGGCGTCGCGAAGAACGGGTCCAGTGCGTCCACCCGGAACGACCGACACCCCGGAAGACCGACGTGTGGAGGACGGCCGACCGACGCCCATTGTGCAACCACTGCGGGGAAGCAGACCGCATTTATCGCCGATGCCCCTTCCGACAACTTGGGCTTCGCGGGTTCCACCCGAACGACCCGCGCCCACGGCATGGTGGGCGCCCACGAGACTTCGGCAAGTATCTTCGCCGTTCACCGTCTCCTGCGCCCGCTTCACCGCGAGGAGCTCGCTCGCCTTCACCCGGACGTCCTGAATCACCTATCCATGGGTCCCGCCGAGAAAGCCGGTCTTCCTTGTCCCGCCGGGAAAACTAAGCGCGGCAACCCCTGGAATTGCCGTAGACCGACGACGTTAAGAGCCCATAAGAACGCCGGAGACTTAAAATGGCTGCATAACTCAAAATGAGGGTTCTGGAAGCGTGTAGCATGGATGTGCGTAAGTCTTTATAACAGGCCTTTTATATTGTGTTAAATTTCAAAGTGTCGTCACCTCGCTTTCCCGGTGTACATGGACAGGTTCCTCTGCCGGCGGCATCACATCACGATTCGATCGTCAGGATTGTCTGACACACG